GGTAGAACCATGATTATCTCTAAAGGCTTCAGGGGAAGACCATTTCTTGTCTCTTGCAGCTTCTGCTGTCCTCAGGCATTTCTTGGAATATGGCAGCATAACTCTAGTCTCTGCCCCCATCTTCACTTGGTTGTCTTTCCTCTGTGTCTGTCTCTTCTTTTTTTTATAAGGACACCAGTTATATTGGGTTAGGCCAACTCTACTTCAGTAATACCTCATGTTAACCTACCATATTTTCACATATAACACACATACATAGCATGAATAGGAAACTAATGTGAGAAGGCTGTGTAGTTTCAAAAATGTGTAATTCATGTGTTATTTGTGTGAAAACGCAGTATAACATCTGCAAAGACAAAATTTTTTAATGTCACATAAGTACTAGGGGTTAGGTTTAAACATTGTTTCTGGGAAACACAGTTCAACTCATGATGGACTCTTAATCACATTTAGAAGATACCGTGGTAGAACCTGTAGTATACAGACATAAATGTGAGTCCTTGACCCCCTGGTTTATAGTCTAGTAGGGAGAGGGCAAATAACTATGCTGCTAAGTAGATTGAAATATGAGTTAGAAATAGAGTGACTGGTACAGTGCTTAGGAAGCCGAGGAAAAGCAGTACCATCTAGAGAAAATAACTTTACAGAGCATTTCAGCTGGGCCTAGAGAGGTGAGTAAGGTTTTGGTAAATACTATTGAGGGTATCTAGGAAAAATATGACGAAAAGCACAGGGCTACAACTGACACTGAGTTTCGCAAGAACAGAACCTGTGTCTTACTTAGTGGCTTTGTATATCCAGCACCTAGCAGAGACCAGACTCAGTAAATATGTAATCGGTGGTCAAATTGGCTTTTGTCAGTGGTAAATTGGTAATAACAGTTTAATCATATAATAAGAGTCTAACCTTGTATGCCTGTTATGCTAGGGACTGTGCCTGCAGCTTTTACGTATATTATCACATTACACCCACTATAGGTACACATTTAAACCTTATGTGAATGTTTATAGCAACTTTATCTGTAATAGTGAAAACCTGGCAAGAACCCAAGTACTTCCCAACAGATGAATAGTTAAACAGACCGTGTTATACCCAAACTATGGAATATTACTCAGCAGTCAAAAGGAATGAATTACTGGGTTTCCTCTCTGATTTAGCACCCAGATTTATACCCCCAGCACGTAGCACCTAGTACATATGTAATCAGTAGGAAGATTGTCTTTTGTCAGGGAATGGCAGTGGTAGTGTCCTACCACTGACTCACTGAGTGACCTCTGGCAAGTCTCTTTCCCTTTTTTGAGCTTTAATTTTTTCACTTGTAGCCTGAAGGAGTTGATCTAGTGGCCCTAAAATTTTTTAAGCATCCCAGACAGAACCTTTTGAAAATGTGATGAGAGCCATAGACTTTCCCTGACAGAATGTCCATGTGCACAGCATTTTGCATTTAATATCAGGGCATACATAGAGCTTATCCATGGGCTCTTAGTAATCTCACTCAGATAAACCATACTCTTTGGTTTAGATCTTGGATTGCCAGACTATGGCCTGTGGGGTGGACTGATTTCGTATGGCTTGTAAGCCAAGAAGGATTTTTTTTTAAAAACACTTTCTAAGGATTAAAAAAAAAAAAAAAAAGAATATACAGTTGAGAATATGTGGGGCCCTTAAACCTAAAATACTTACCATCTTCCCTTTACAGATAGTTTGTTTAGATGATTGCTAAGACCTCTCTTAATACTTAGGACTTCATGATTCTTTAGTCCTACCTGGTAGATAATTGCTGGTAGTTGATGTCCTCCTCCTCCTCCTTTTTTTTTTAAATGTGTTTTCAGTAAAGTTTTAAATAGCAGTTTAGGTTCCCATTCACCTATTTCAACACAGTGTGACATTGGTTACATTCTTCACAATGCATGAACATTCTCCATTATTTCCCGTCTGGTGGTTCCATTTCCATTATCTGGTTTCTCTGTCCCTTTACATTCTCATCTTTGTTTTGAAGTAATTAGTGACCATTTGGTCTCATATAGGTGGGTGATTTTTAAAAGAAGCACAGTACTTATAGGTGATAAATTTTTTTAAAAAACATTTTACTGTATTTTAGGTGAAAGTTTACACAGCACCTTCATTGCCCATTCAACAGTCCCTACATAAATTGTTCTGTTGACATTGGTTGCTGTTCCCATGATGTGCCAGTATCTCCCCATTTACACCCTGCTTTCTGCATTTCCATCCTTTTCATCTGTGCTTTTGGGCAAATGTTGCTTCACTTGGTCTCTTATAGTTGATTGTTCCAGGGAACACATTCCTTATGGGTGTTACTGTTTATTTTATAGGCCAATCTATTATTTGGTGAGAGGTGACCTCCAGGGGTGGCTTCAGGTCCAAGTTAAAAGGTTTTCTTGGGATGACAGTTCAGTGGTTCTTCCAGTCTCTTATCAGTCTAGTAAACCAAACACAAACCCAAAACCACTGCCATTCCATTGAGTCAGTTCCTACTCGGGTCTTTTTTTTTTTAATGAATTTGAGTTTGTTCTACATTTTTTCTCCTATTCTAACTGGGACATTCTATTGTGTCCCTGGTTAGAGCAGTCAGTAGGGAAGCCAGGCACCATTTAGTTCTGATCTTAGGCTAAAGGCACCTGTGATTTGTGTGAACCATTAATCA